GAGAGATGTCACTGCACTTAATGGAAGCAGAGCTTTTTCAATTTAGTGAGACAGTATTTGTTGATACAAAATAGCAGGGGGCCACCTCAAGAGGATCACATTTCATTTATGCCAAGAACTTTCAATATAAACAGGAAGACCAATCAGGCCAAACTCTTAATTAGAAGTGCTTAGTTCCATGTTGTCTAGCCAATGATTGGAATTAATGACATTTTGTCACCTTATTAGCGTAATATGGCACTTTCTTTTACAAGCTTTCCAAACCTCTCCTCTATTGAGAAGTCCAACAGTTTTTATTTTAAAAATACTTGTCATTATTTTATCCTGTTGCACCTGTGTTACTTCTGTATTATATAATATTTATTACTTCATTGGTGAAGTCTCAGTCTCTTTAGTCACATGTGCTGTTAAAATTAAAAGGTTATTTATACATACCGATGACTTGTTATTGTTAGTGTGATGTGGATTAGCAAAGTGGAGCAGCCCAGATAGCTTGCAAATGCACCTCATGGCATTTGAAGAAGACACACCTTTATTTCTGAGATGATTTATGGGAGAAAACCAATCTGAAATCTCAAAAAGGAAGATTGGACAAGCCAGTGATTTATTGATGTGAGGCATCTCCCAAAACTGTCCCATTTTTACATCTGAAAACCTGTTCTATACTATAAATAAGGCAGGAAGAGGTGTCTGCAGGATCTGATACTTTTATCAAAATGATAAAAACACCATTGTGCTGTTGACATGCAAATTCCACCCTTTGTATACATGCTCATTATGGCAATGCAAAAAGTAAAGCACAAGTTGGACTCCATTTCCCAGAACTCATCGGCTCTTTTGGGGCTTTATTTCCCAGATCTCCCCAGAAAACCGAGATGCATCTGGGAACTCTGCAGGGAGAAAGGCTGCATAGCGGCATTCCAGTCTAAGGCCCCCAGCCAGCTGCCTATTCAGAATAACAGAATAACAGAGTTGGAAGGGATCTTGGAGGTCTTCTAGTCCAACCCCCTGCTCAAGCAGGAGACCTTATACCATTTCAGACAAAGTGATGAAGGCTTTTCCAGACTTTGAGTAGGGCTCGAGCCAAACTACTCAGCAGATCCTTGTGGAAAACTCTGAGCTTTCTTGAAACCCAACTGGGTCCATCAATTACCTTGCGTTGGCTGATCTAATATGTTCTCCCAACATTTCTCAGATAAAAATGGTTTGCTACTCTGCAGGATCTGATGGAATATAGAAACTAGAAGGGTTCTTCTTTCTTTCCATTTCAATCTTAGCAGAGATCCATAAGAAAAAAATAAAACAAATCAACAGTGATAATAACAATAAATCTGAAGGTTGTGTTCTTGGTGCCACATCTCTTTCAGAAAATAAATCTATTGCCAAAGACCTTCTGCAATAACCAACTCTTCATAAACCTCCAGAAGACCATAAGGGTCAATCTTACAAATGGTTCTTTAGAAAGGGAGGCCCCCACAGAGAATATTTATTTCCATGTCACACCAAGTAAGTTGGGAGCTTTAGCAGGCATTATCTGCTTACCCGTTTTGTGTAGGCAGATTCTACCCAGGCCCAATGCCATATAAGGACTTAGAGGTAATAATTAACATTTTGTGTTATATGCAGAAACAATGTATTGCTAGTAAAGATGGGCAATCAACCTTCATGCTCCCAGGTACCAGAAAGTAGGAAAATAAATTCACATGGCATTTCTTTTACCATTTACAGGACACTGTTTCCATTTTATGAACTAAAATTGGAATTTTGAAGCAAATACTTTTCTTTCTTTTTTACAAATAGAGCATCTTATAACAAAGCACACAACTTTCTCCTCTTTACCTTGGTCAACATCTCTTCCATATATTTATGAAACTAGTGTGCATCTGAGTATTCAAGGAGTGTGTTTCATTTTCTACTCAGACTTCATCTCCCTAAGAAGCAGAATTTACATTGATGGTATACTACACAGATACTGTAATGCCTCTCAGTTTTGAAATTAAACATTGAGGCATGTTCTTGTAAATATACTACAAATAGAAAATTATCGATTTTTCAAATAGTACACATTTTGTCCTTGTTACAAAACTAGGTAATTTGGCCCATGGCTCTCTCTTCATCCTTGTTATAGGCATCACACCCTTCTTAGACTCAAGTTGTACCAAGATTTCCTAGGATTCAAACTTGCTCCTATTCAAACTTATCTAGGAGTAAGTCACATTGATCTCAATGGATTTTCTTTCTGAGTAAATGGCCTAGGATGGTGCTGCCAATAAAACAATGACTTTTGAGAGCAAATGGATTAAAGGGGAGCAATAAAAAGCAGAGTCACTTACAAGAAATTATTAGCAGTCTATTCTGCTTAAAATTTCCAGCAGAAAAGTTCTTTGTCCTGAGATATGTATAATTAAGGGCAATGACTATAATCTTTCTTTCTTTCTTTCTTTCTTTCTTTCTTTCTTTCTTTCTTTCTTTCTTTCTTTCTTTCTTTCTTTCTTTCTTTCTTCCTTCCTTCCTTCCTTCCTTCCTTCCTTCCTTCCCTTCTTTCTCTTTCTCTTTCTCTTTCTCTCTTTCTCTCTCTCTCTCTCTTTCTCTCTCTCTCTCTCTCTCTCTCTCTCTCTCTCTCTCTCTCTCTCTCTCTCTCTCTCTCTCTCTCTCTCTCTCTCTCTCTCTCTCTCTCTTTCTTTCTTTCTTTCTTTCTTTCTCAAAGCAAAACAGTTGAGACCTGCCTTCTTTCATATGTAACTCTTGGAAGTAAATATCAAACATATCATTTCCACTTCTATTTTGAAGGAACACACACACATTAAGATGTAAAGTATGGATTCTCAATTATCAATGACTTTGCCAGCTGTTAAAAATAAGACAATGCAGAAAAGATAGTCTATAATTATTCAGATTTGTGGGTTGATGTGAAAAATGGCAGCTCTCCAAATTTTGTAGCCTCTGGAACAAAACCATCTGACTTGGCACCTAAATTCTGGATGAAATTCCAACTTTTGTTTCATTATCCACATATAATTCTGTTATTTCTTCTATATCTCATTTTCTCAGCCAAAAATAGCTTCCAAAGTAGCTAACTGTCAAAAGCCAATGCAAAATATAATACAGTATGTGTGTATATGTGTGTGTGTGTGTGTATGTTTTCTGAGGTTTTTGCGGGTGTTTGTATGTAGGTCTTTGGTTATTCGGGTTTTCTCCCATGTAAAATTGGAAGTGTCTTGGTCACGTTTCAACGAAGTCACATTCATCATCTTCAGGCTGGTGTTTTCGGCTTCGTGCTTCTAGGAGCAATGTGTGATTGCAGCTGTTTCTTCCTTTTATCTGCCAGTGGGGGTATGAACTGATTGGGTGGGAGCTTGGCTGTGTTCTGATTGGTTAGGGGCTTGGCTGTTAAAAGGAAGAAACAGCTGCAATTACACATTGCTCCTAGAAGCACGAAGCCAAAAACACCAGCCTGAAGATGATGAATGTGACTTCATCGAAACGTTGCCAAGACACTTCCAATTTTATGTGGGAGAAAACCCGAATAAAGTGGAAATTGCTCTTATATGTTCGGATGCCACCTACCATGTTTATTAATCCTATAAACAGGATTAATAAACATGGTAGGTGGCATCCAAACATATTTTTAAACAGCTTTAGCAATGATTCTTAAAAATCTGTAGGACTATCAGAATTCCCAGGTTAGACACTATGTTCTAAACATAGAAATGGAAGAAGGATATTTATGGAATGTGGTGAAAATTGAAAGCAGATCATAGTGGTATCCTAAAATGAAATGTTCTTGCTTCAATGATATAGTTGAAGCAATGATATAGTCTAAAAACACAGGAGTACATAGCTTTGTCTTCTGTCCATCCTCCTTTTAGGTAATTTCACTGTCCAACATGTACCAACTGTTGCATGTTTTAGAACTACTTCAACATTGGTTGTAGATTAGATGGAGAAAATTTTGTACTCTATGCAAATTTTGAATGTGCAAATTCTGAGCATGTGTCAACCTGTGCTTTAGATTGATAAAAAAAGAGTGTTGGACTACACACAGGCATGTACATTGCTTCTCAAATCAAATGCATGTCTTCCTGAGAATATTTATTAATTGAATTAGTTTCTATAGCTGCCTATCTCTATCCAATTGACTGTTATACTAGGCTAGTCAGATTTAAGCAGCACCTAGTATGGCCTCAACCCTGTTCCATGGCATTGGATGTCCCTGAAGAAGGTGGACAAAGAAATAGAAATAGAAATTCTATATAAAATTCAGTATCATTTGGAGTGCATCATTCCCATTCATTTGATTTATAGATGATTAATTGGCAACACTGGCAGAGAATCTCTTGAACAAAATATTTATTATGAGAAGTACATGTTGCTTTAGATAAGCCAAATAAGATACGATGTGGCCAAGTAAGATGTACTCTATCAAATAAGGGACTCTTATTACATGTTGTCTTTGCAAAATGGGCTCCCCAAATTCCATACCCTCCAGATTAGTCAAGGATAAGGCTCAGGCCTTTAATCTGTCATTCCCAGAGCATCCCTGCTGAAATTCAGAGCCAGAATGGCTGATGTTCAGCTACCTAGTATTTAATAGTCCTAAAGCTTGTCCCATGTAATTTGTGTCACTCTGAAGCATTTGGAGACTAAAATAATAACTTTGAAAATACAGAGACCAGGAGGAAGATGTTATCTGTATTTTTTTTATGAAAGAAATGAATTTTTTTCACCTTTCCTTATCCCCAGATGTGAAGTGCAGGACACTAGTAGGTTTAGGGAGGGTGACTTAGTTTAGTCTCTCACTATCATGGAAAATTTTGTCAGTTCATTTATTTAACCTTCATTGTTCCCCCCCCCCTCTCTGTGTGTTCTTATCTTACAACAATGACTTCTGCATACATGAAGATATTCACAGAGATGACTTATTGGAAACCAATTCTTTAATGAAACTATATATATATATTTGGCTGGGGAAAACTGAAGATGTCAATTTTTGTTTCTAGGTGATTGTGAAAACAAGAACAGAATATCAACCAGACCAGAAGAACAAAGGAAAACTTAGAGTGCCCAAAATTGCTGAATTCACAGTCAGTTTCACTGATGGTGTAACAGAAAGGTTAAAGGTAAGAAATGCAGAGGTTTGGTAATTTTCATAAGAATAATTAATAGACAGCAGCTCTCCTATTCTGATTTAAAAATGGCACACTACTCAAGATCAAAGTACACATGGACTTAAGCAGGGCTTTTTTTTGTCATAGAATGCACCGGAACAGAGTTCCAGCACCTTTTTTCGATGGATTTTCCAGAGTTGCGTTCTTTTCCTATTGTTGCCCTTCCTATACTTGCTTGCTTTTGAAAATGCCCCACTGGCAGTATAGTGCAGCAGTCCCCTCCGGCACTGTCTGCCTCCTCTAGGAGTAGCCATGAGGCGCCAGAGCACCACAGCTAGAGGTGGCTTGATTGGCTGGGTCGGACCATGTGGTGTGGAAGCCGATGGTGGCAGTGGGAGACACATAAACATGGAGGCCCTCTTTCATGAGAGGGTGAGTGAGCCTTTTGACTTCCTTTACAGAAGGTGGGGTGTTAGGCTAAAAAGAGACAAAGCAAGAGGAAAGAAAGGCGGCTGGTGTGGAAACTTGCCCGACAGCGAAACTTTGCTGTTTCGGTTCCTTGGGTAGTTCAAAGGCTGGGATGTCTACAAAAATCTCTTTTTAGTCTTTTATACTTTATATTCAAACTGCAGAGGGGAAGAATAAGACTAAAGCCAGTGTCTTGTGATTTGGAGATATTATTATTAATAATAATATATACAGTATTAATTATGTATTGGTCAGATGTAAAGGTAGACCTACAGTATGAGGTTTAATCAGATCTATTTATTAAATTGGGTTTAACTTAAAGGTAAATTAAAAGTAATCTGTTCACTGACAAAGTTTCAACTTTAATTTGTTTCAAGTCAATAGCCATATTAAACTCCAAATGTAAATTTTTCCACCTTGTTTGACAACTTCTTAAAAATAATTCAATCTTTTGCAAGCAACCAAATTTTCTTTTATTGGGCCAATTTCATTCCATATAGAAAGCTGACATTTCCACTCATTAAACTAAATGGGTATGCCAGTGGTAAATGTCCCAGAAGATTAATAAAATGCCTTCTTGTAATTTAAAGCCACACAGTGCATGGTAACATTAATAGTATTAACTTACCTTGAACAAAATCCTAGTCTTTTAAATACACTAAAAATTGAAGTTTTTTTTCTCAACTACAAAGATAAAGGCGGGTTGTATGACGTGTGTGAGTTCCGGCACCTTTTTTTTTTTTTAAACAAAAAAAAGCACTGGACTTAAGAATTCCTAGGTTGGAACATACAGCTTAAGTTTATTCTTCCCAATGCATGGTAATGCATCTGCATTAGGAATGACCTGAAGAGGAAGAGGGATTCAGCCAGGCCGAGCCTAGCTCTTCCAAGATGCTATTACTCATGAGAAACCTATGGTTATAGTCAGAATTCAGTGGGGGAATCAAACTTCTTGCCTTCATTATAACTGTGATTTAAATGTTTCCTCTTGGCCTTCCAAAGTTGCTTTTTTTTGCGGGGGGAATGGCATTGAAACAGAAGTTGAAGATAATTCAACTTACTAGATTTCACAATTATTTCTAACCATGTGAACAAAATTACTTTTCACAAGAAAGGCACTACATTACATTATTTTATGCTATAATTTACCATTACCTTAATTATCTGAATTCTGGGTAAAGTTCGGTCTCAAATCACAAGATCCTTCCAGATTCTAAAGGTAAACAATTCTTCATCTTTTTGTAAAAAGCATGCATTATATTAAATCTATGTTCTACTCCACCTGTTTCTTATTGGCGTAGAGGTTTTGGAGTTGTTAGCCTGATTTCACAATGAGAAGCAAACCTGATTATGCAACAGATTGAGCTTGTGCTCAGTTGCAAAATTTTACACTGTTGCAAAAAATCCCAGATTAAAAGGATGTCCATCTCCATGACTAAAGGATGTCCATCTCCATGACTAAAGTAGGCATAATTAAAAAAAAACCCAGAAATTGCATTTGAATATGAAACTCATACCTGCAGACTATTTCTATCAAGCCCTGTTTATTGGCAAGTATTATCTATTGTCTATCTATCTATGCTCTAAAGGATGAGATGACAACTATAAGCTTTATTTAGCAATAATGAGGAATCATTAATTTTGGTATGAGAATGAGCCAGACCAAATTTTAGGGTAATATATTCCTGCTCCTGTCATTTTTTTTCCTGGTTGTCATGAGATGTTTGTCCAATTTACATCTTAATGTGAATTTATTTAATGCACAGCTTTCAAAAAAATGGGCGGAGTGTGAAAAATATATACAATTATATATTTTAAAGAAAAGTGTGCACAAAATGTGTATATTTTTTCTGATGAACTGCATATGAATATATATGAAATTTTAATATAGACATGGAAATAAAAGAATTGTAGTCTGATTCTGTAAGGAATTTAATTCTAAAAAAATTAGGACTTGAAATGGAAATATCTTATTTTCTATAGAAAACTTGCAGCTTCCGCTTTTGATATTAAATTAATATCAAATGCAGAAGACTTTCCTGTCATTGCCAATCTTCAGCAGCCATGAGTTATTTACAGTAAAACATGGAATAAAACAATCTTAGAAAACATTGTTTGATCCCAATGCAGTGCTCATTCCATAAAAATCATAAATAAAATCCGCATTTATTAAGAATGTGTCAGAATTGCATGCATAATTGACAAGCCTTCTATAGTTATAGAATCTTTGGGAAATCCAGCTTGTATATCCGTGTTGCATATGGATGGTACCCACATCGAAAAGTAATCTTATGGTATACTATACACTGATCATATGGCATATGAAGTTGCAGAGTAATTCTGTTGACTGGAGTATTGTTCTGTATACTGCTGAATTCTGTCCCAACATACGATCTATAAGAGTTAGTTTGAAATGAACTATGGACATGGGAAGCAAAAATCTGCCAACAATGAATACCAAATTTAAAAAGTAATAGCAGTTGGGCTTAAATCAATGCAAGGGCAAAACATTTTATGCTTTGAAAAGTTCTGAGAATCCTTTGAAATCAGTATCTTATGCTTTCTTAAACCAGGAAAACTGTTTTCTTCATATGGAGTCTATAGCCTGAAATTTGGAGGCATATTTATTTATAAAACATTACTGACAACATAGTTCCCTATCACTTTTATTTCTCTTTACTTTTCTTTAATTGATCTCCCAAGCTACTTCTATTGCTCTCTTTCCCTTCCCAAGCATTCTTCTCACACTGGTTGTTATCTGGGTCAGCAAATAAACCCAATGATCTGTCATTCAATGGAAAATGTCAATGCTATTTTCTGACTCTTCATCTGATTTTTATTTTGTCTATCTCATCTGTTAATCACCTATCATCATAAGAGATCAGGCAGTAAACTTCTACCTGCTTTTCATAGGTACTCCATGTTCCATATTAACTTGATTGACTATGCTGAATTATTTCCTAATCAAAATGAGCTGAGGTAATAGATCATTCTTATGATTTTCTATATGGCTTTAAAATTGTTCTTCATTTTTATTCTAGTGCATATTGTAAGGAGGTTATTAAATATACTATCTTCTGATTACATACACATCTTTTACCTTGTGCTGGAAGCATATCTTTCATTTGTGCTTATGGAGAAGGAAAGTGGCATAAATGTTTTAAGGTTTATCGATTTTGATTTTGGTACATTTTAAAAATAAAGGAAAGGAAGGAAAGGAAAGGGCTGAAGGAAACAAAATCTAACAGATCTTGTAAATGAGATCACAATGTTTTCTTTTTTTAGATAACTCTCCAGTGAACAATGTGCTAGAAATTTCATTTTCACCTTTCTGGAACAGTAAAAAAAAAAGGACTTTACCATATATATATAAGCCATATTTTCATCTTTTCTAAATCTTTGTGTGATTGCTTATTAAGAAGCAATTATTACTATGCTCAGTGGGATTTGCTCTTAAATTGGATGTGAGGAACTGCAGCTTTCTTTGTCCTCCCATCCAGCGTTTATTCATAGGGCTTTTCTGTAACAGATTCTTGATGTCCAGATGTAAGGAAGGATCACGTGATTTGACTAATATCAATGGGATTGATATAGCTGTTTGAGAAGCCTTCATTTTGCAAAATGACAATTTTCTCAGCTTTGCTTCTCCCGTTTTACTAATTCTGATGAACATTTACTTTTGAGTAAACTCATTTGAACTTAATGGGCCCCCCTGCTGATATCGTTGATCTACAGGATTTCTTTCCTAAAATGTCATATGATGCTTCTTGAAATATTTGAGTCTGTTTTTCAAATATAGATTGATTAAGGATTTTTTTAATTGTTTGTTTTCGGTAAAATAGTTTTATGAGGAAAAATGTAAGTTTGCAGATATTTTCTTAATGGTTGAAGTTTATAAATACAGCTATATGGGTGGCCCATTGTGAATTTATATTTTTAACAAACTTGCTTTAATTGCTGCTATTAGGAAAGTTATGTAATGTTTTGTATTTTTAGATAAGACCAGAACAATCCATTTACTTTGAAAACAGATATATTTTCTTGTTTAGATATTTAATTGCTGTTATTTCCTTTCCTCCCATGTGAGTGAAAATTACATTTTGGCAGCAGCCATATTTAATTTCCTGGAGCATAAAAATGACTTCAAAACAACATTTTTAGGGCCAAAATGAATAATTCTGCTATGACTCCTTCCCTTCCAAGAAATGTTGCCCTACCTTCAAAATATTTAAAAAAAATAAAAAAATCTAATATTTAAAAAGTGATCCTTTTCAATTAGGCGATGTCCTACATTACTTCTAGCTTTTCCTTCCATCTCCTTGTAAAAACAACTTTGTGTTTCTGCTGAAAATAGGTTGCGATCACATGCCTAATGCAGAACTGTCTAAATTATGCAAATTAACCCAGTGTGCTGTTTTTGCACAGTATATTCTGACTTTTCCTATTAGAGTACAGAAATAGAAATTCCCAAGGATATTGATGTTCCTTTGACTTCCAGAAATCTTTTTAGCTATGTCCTTGACATAGAAATTTCTGCATTATCA